GACACCAGAGCAGGTGTATTAAGAATATGCAGATTATGACCTGCCGAATGAGGAGGCACAGACCACCCATCCGGGGTGGCAAGCAGCTTCTGTGGCACCAGAGCCCCCACTTTGGGGAAGTGAAACCCGAGTCATGGTTTTGATGGAAGGCACACACACGGGACACAAAGTAAGTAGAGTCACAAGATACGGAATTTACAGACCCCAGAAGTGGTGGGAGTGTAATGAGCCTGGGGAAGGTCACCCTCCGTCCCAGGTCATGAGCCGGCAGAAGTAGGGAGCAGACTGACAAATCCTATCACTTATAAGGTAGTCGGGGGACGTCACTAATTTTTTGGTAGAGCTTAACTCCAAGTGGTTATTTTAAAAGGTGCCCCGGGGGAAAGCAAAGTGGGAACCTATGGCAGAATCCTAAACTCAAGTCCTTATCTAAATGTCTAGACTGTGGTGTGAGCAGGGTTGTCATACTGTAAAATGCCTAGGTAGCGACTCAGAAAAGCAAAGTTGTTTTTCTTAAAAGCTGATTCACACATTCCACAAGGTCGTGGTGAACTTGCGTCTCTCTGATGGATGGACACTTGCTCCTTGTTCCCTGCCTGCTTTGGTCCAGTGGTTTCAACAAGGAAAGTGCAGCCGTTCCCGTCAGCATCTGGACACCACTGCTTCCCGTAGTCTCCCGCCCTGGGCCACAGTGAGCCTGTGCAGTCACTGGCTCAAGATGGAAATAGAAGGAAAGACATAACGAAGAAAATAAAAAAAAATTAATGATGCAGAAAAGGAATATAAAATAGAGAAAACCAACAAAGCCAACAATTGTTTAAAACAATCCTAGCAGGATATTCAGGATAGAAAGACAAGAGGTCTAAATAATCAACAACAAGAAGGGAAAGGGGGACATCAACACGTATCCTGCACATATTAAAAAGAGGATAAGAGAATAATGAGATAATAAAAGCATGTCTAAACAGGTTTATGCCAATAAATTTGAAATTTTAGGTAAAATAATAAATTCCTAGGAAAAATAATATACTGAAATTAGCACAAAGAAATAGAAAACTCAGAATAACCCCACAACTATTTAAAAGAGTCAAATGCATTATTTAAAGTCTTCCCCAAAGAAAATGCCAGGTCTATAGAGATTCAGTGGAGATATTTACTAAGTGTTTAAAGAAGAAATAATGTCTGTCTCATACAAAAACTTCTAGAACATAGGAAAAGAAGATAGATTCCCAGATCTGTGTGATGAGAATGACATATTCTTGATGCCAAAATCTGACAAGGGCAGTGCAAGAAACACATACTATAGGCCAGTATCACTCATGAACATTAATGCAAAAGTCTGAAATGAAATACTAGCAAGCTGAATCCAGGAATATATGAGGCAGACATTATCAGCAAGCTGGGTTCCTGCCAAGCATGCCAAATTGTTTGAACATTAGAAAACCAATCAGTGTAAAATGCCACCTTTACAGAGTAAAGGAGAAAAATCATATGGTCATCTTAATAGACACACATGAAAGTATTTGACAGAATTCAATAGCCCTCTGGCTGTGGAGGCCTTTCTAGCCCACAGGTGTTAACCACAACACCCCACTGTGCCGGGCCTCTCTCCCCCAAAGTTGGATACGGATGATACTATGAAGGGCAGGACACCTGAGCACCAGAGGTCCCGGGAAAGCATTGGCAGGAATTGGGGTCTCTGGGTCCCACAGAAGAGGGTCCCTGTGACCCAGGGACTGAAACTGGGAACATCACTTTGATCTCTGTAGGAAATAGACTCAGGCACTGAGCTATGTATGCAGAGAAACACATGTGCCCAGAAAGGCTTGACCCCATCCTGGAGGAGGCCCAGGAGCCATGAGAGCATCTACGGGAAGCCCCAGGCCTCCAGTCGGGCTCCCACGAGACTCAGGATCCAAGCCACTCTGGGACGGTTCACTCTGGGTGACAGTCAAGTCCCTGGAGAGGGACCTCAGGGGCCAGGATAGAGCAGGCCCTGAGGAGACATGTCCACACATACACATATTCTTACCTGGGTCAACGGCTACTTTAACTTGGACCCCAAGGTCACTTCCGATTTTCTCAATCCCACACCAGTAAGTGTCTGCGTCGCTCCATCTGAGCTCCTCCAGGGTCACAGTGAACATGCGGTTCATCTGATCATCCCCGATGGACACGTGGTTCATCTTCACCTTGTGCTCTGATCCAGTGGTTTTCACAAGGATATTGCAACTGCCCCAGGCAGCTCCCCGACACCACCACTTGACGTACTTCTCCCATCCTGGGTCATAGCGGCACTGCACGGTCAGTGAGCCCCCAACCGGGCCTCTCACCGCTCCTGGACCCCTGATGACAGATGAGGATGGAAAACACAAATCCGTGTACCTGTCACCTCCCATCCTGAGGCCAGGGCCACAGCCTCCTGTGTTGCGACTAGTCCGATAAATCCAGTGCCTGCTGAGTTGAGTAACAGGGAAGGAATACACCTTCCACAAGGCAGAGCTCCTGTCCTGCACTGGGCCAAAGCCACCATTCCTGCTCACCTCCAGGCCCGGAAGGTGCTTTTCTCGGAGTTTCTCTCTGCTGTCTTGTCAAGGTTTGACATGACAGCCATGCTAGTTTCCTAAAATGAATCTGGCAATTTCCATCTTTCTTATTCTCTGAGATCAGAACATAAACAGAGCAAAGGAGTTGTTGTACCTTTAGAAACCTAAAAGATTATCTGCAAAACTATCTGGCAGCCTCTTTATTGGGGCAAATCTTTTGATTACTTGAAACTATTTTCCCATGAATTTTGACCTATTCAAGTGTTTTGGTTTTCTAGAATTCATTCTATTATTTGTTTTGTTTTATTTTCAAAAAGCATCTCTTTCACAGGCTGTGTGTCGGCATAAAGTTCTGCAATTAGAAAGCATCCTTTTATAATTCAGTTTTCAGGTCGTAACGACACGTCTTCGTCACAGGCACTGTAGGTCTTCCTGTTTCAGGTGCCTCCGGATATCCTCCCCGCTGTTTCTCGTACCCTCTCCTCCTCTTCTTCTGCATTAAACCAGTTTTGAGATTCAGTTGATAAATGTTGCCACTTTTCTTTTCTAAGTTATTAATGTCTTGGGGAAGCAGAGATATTAAGCAAAGGCCCAATGTGGGAGGAGACAGAGCATTTGTGAGGAGCTGGAATGGGGCCAAGTACTGGGACCCAGGGGTGAGCGGACTGGCCATGAGCTGAGCTTGGAGAGGCCACTCCTTGGGGTTGAGGCTGTTGAGCATTTCAGGTAGAAGAGCCGCTCCTGTGATCATCCTAGAGGAGTCAAGACTTCAATGGAGAGAGGGGTGGTTATACGTGGATATTTCAGCCTCGAAGCTGGGCTCATCAAGAGCTGAGTTCCCATAAGCAGTGAGGGCTGGGGGGTCAGTATGTGGGTTGAGAAAGCTGTCAGGAGCCACGGCCTGCCTGGGTTCCTACATCTCGCTCCCTCTGCACTGCTCACCACCGCATCCCATGCGCCTGCTGGGGCCGACACTCACAGATAGTCCTTGAGGAGGACGGGTTGTCTGGTCCTGGTACCAACCAGGTTAGACCCTGATACCAAGTCTGAGGCCTTGGGACCTGAGCACAGAGAAAGGTGAGGGAGAGGCAGAGCCCCGGCCTTGGGTGAGGAGGAAGCTCGCTGCTAGTCACCCTGTCCCCACAGGTCCCTGCTCAGCAGCGTCCACTTTCTGCTTCTGATACTCTTGAAGGTGCCCCTGCTGCTGAGCATGCTCAGTGCCATCCTCTGGGTGAACAGGCCTCAGAGGACAATCTGTGGGGAAACAGAGTCAGCCTGACCAGGACCACCCACCTTGCGCGCCGATATCCTGCCCAGAGACCCAGCCACACAAAACTAAGACGGAACTTCTGAGCCTGAACCTTGGAATGTCTTTTCACCTTGCCAAAGACTTCTAAAAAAAGCATTAAAACTTTTAAATGAAATGTATCACAGGCACAAAAGTGTGCAGATGACATACATGTGCCCTGTGCTTGGCTGGGGAGAGCCAGGAGGGGCCTCCACAGGGGCACCCAGAATTCTAATCTCCCAGCAGAGGTGCCAGCTGCAGCACGTCAGGCAGGGACTCCAAGGTAAGGGGCCTGCTTTCTCGTGGCCTCGCCTTCCTGAGGACCTCCCAGGTGTGGCTTCTCAACTCCAGGTTAGTATCTTCATTCATTCACCAAATAAGCACTCATAGCCTACTAAGGGCCAGGCTTGTTCCAGGTGCGGGGCTAGAGCAATTCAGAAGACATGGGCTTTATGTCCTAATGGGTGGTTTCAGAGAATAAACAAATAATATCAGTTTATAATAAGCATCATAGAGAAAAACAGACCAGAGTTCAGGGGTGACAGAAGACAGGAACAGCTTCTCAGACGAGAGCCTCAGGCAGGCAAGGGAAGGAGGGTGGAAGGTCTGGACAAAGGCAAAGGCCTGGGTCAAGACAGAGCGCAGGGCAGCTGAGGACCTGCAGGAGGCAGGGTTGCAGGAGGGAGGGCGGCAGGAGCCCAGGGGGTCAGCTAGAGGTGGACAGCAAGGGAAGCCCTGGAGCTGCATCCGCTGAGCAGTGAGGCCAGTCAAGGATTTAAGCAGAAGAGTTCCAGGATCAGATTGGAGGATGAGTCAGGGCATTAGGTTGAGGATTGGTTCATGGATGACCTTTGACCCATGCTAACTCACCCAAACAGTCCCCACCTGAAGTGAGATCCTGTGCATGCAGGAGCAGGGCAGTGGTTAGCATTCACACCTGGGCCCTGTGGTTCCCTGGGCAGCCACCTCCTACACGCCCTAGTGTCCCTAAATCTCTGCACCAAGCATTCTTAAGCTCATTCCTTGGATGATACATCCTTAGAGGATCTGCTTTATTTCTCCTTCTGTGATTTCTGTTCTTGCAAATCACCCTCCTCCTGCCCCAAATAGGAGCCCAAACCTCAGCCTGAATCTGTCTCACTGAAGACAGTATCTTTTTTCCAAAGGGCTGGAAACTTTCCTTCAGTGTCAGCCCTCCGTCTGGAGGATCTGGAGGGGTCAGTGACATGGCCTGATGTTCAAGAACAGAAGCATTTCTGTTTCCAAACTTCGTGGGTAAAAATGAAGGCACCCACCGGGGCACACTTGAAGCAGTTCTTCAAGCTACCAACAGATGGCAATAGCGGTCAATCGCAGAACTTCATTACTGACATTTTAAAGGACTTCTCTCTTCTGGCAGGATTGCTTTTGCTACTGGGTCCCTCCTGGCTGATTTAAATATCCCCCGTCTACAGCAAGTGTTAGAAGTAGACCCATTGAATCCTGATGGCTTTTCCAAGCTGAGTCCAAACTGGTCCGTGGCCCCAGCCCAATACCATTCATCAGCCTGAGCGAGCCCATTAGGAATTACCTTGGCTCTTGGGGCCAACCAGACATGCACTCAACATTCTGGGGGCCAGAGTCGAAGGTGCAACCAGGGATCTGGACCCCAATAGGCAGCTCAGACCGGAGTAAGTCAAGGCCCTAAAGACCTGTGCCCAGGAAAGAGGACAGAACCAGGATGAATGACAAGGATGCATCCGATTCCAGCCCAAGGCTTCAGCTTTATTGAGAAGCAGAAGCCACACCACGTGGCTCTTCTGAATTTCTTATATTGTTGGAAAATCCAATCCGGAGCAATTTCCCTGCATGTTAGACAAGATCTCAACCCGGAAAAGTGTTCTTGACTCTGATTGAGGAAGAATTCACAAGTAAATTGAGCAAGGACAAGCCCCCAGTAGGCAGAAGGACACACCCAGGGAGGGAATGTGGGTATACAACCCAGGTGAGCAGCATGGTGGGGTCAGGTCGGGTGATCTGATAGCTGAAGTTTAAGCAGGGGGTGGAATAGTCATCAGGATAGGTGGGTTTTCTTGGAACAGGGAGGGGATTTCCAGGAAATAGGCTGACACCCTCTTTTTGCCCTTAGATGGTCTGCCTCGGGAATGTGATGGTGCCAAGAGGTGTGACTTTCAGTATGCTAGTGAGCGTGTAATGCATTTGGAGGTGAAACCAGGGTCAGCTTCTTCTCCTGGCTGGAACCAGCCAGTTTTGGCAAGTCTGGTGTCTATACCTTTTCCCCCTACATCCCTGGAGAAGAGTTTACAAGGAATGTTTAGAATATAACAAGCATCTAGCCAAATGAAAACACTGGCCAAAGTGCCCAGCCCCCTCCCTGCCCCTGTCTGGCTACCTACTGTAGCACTTACTCCCTGGAAGAGGTAGAGACACCCAGTGCCCCCGATGCCCCCTACTGGACATGTCCAGCTAGCTTGGAACTTGGTGTGGTGACAACTGCCAGTTTCCTCTTACCGCCCACGGACGCAGGAAGCAGCTCTTTGAAGGACTATGATCAATGTTACGAAAGGTCTGAGGAAAGGCAGCTGTGGGGATGAGAAACAAGGAGACGGAGGTGCAGAGGCCAAGAGAGACGAGCAGAGATGGGGCAGGGGGTGACGGGGAAGGTCTGTCCTGCGTGTGCTCAGAGAGGTCTGAGTTTGGCCCTGAACTACCATCCCCTGAACAGCCTAAAAATTAGTCTTAAACATTATCTCTTAGTGGAACTATCCACCCAAAAACAGGGCTGTATTGACAGAAATGTTTATTCTGTGTATTTATACATGTGTTTTACCCCTATTAAAACACCAATCAATTAGAATTTTAATCCATAATCCAATAATCGTTTCTCTGCCCAATTAATTATATACTTTACGGCCATCTATGTATCCAAAAGCTTATTTGTGAACTTCACGAATTTAAAATACACCGTAATTTTTGCAACCCTACTATGGCGCCCCTCTTTTGTTAAGATGTTGAGAGCTTCAAACAATAAAAGTGTCCCAGGCCCTCTGGACCTCAAATGATTCCAGCCCAAGGGCAGGCAGTAACATTGGGCTTTGACTTTATCTTTGCATAATTATTTTTTCCCTTGCAAAAGAGAGGCCCAGGCCCCTCTGTGGATTGTCCCCACGCTGTTCGGTGCTCGGCTCGCTGACCTCTTAGACTTTTCCCTCTACGCTTTTCTATAGCAGTGTAACTCCAGGGGGAAAATTATGGGGCAAAATACCTTTGGAACCGATATCAGTCAAAGGGAAAAACCCATTTATTTCTTACAAGCAGACATTCGTGTCTCTCTCGACCTGGCTGCAGAAGAAGAGACCCCACCCAACCTTTCAGGTCCAGATAAGCCCTCACTTGCCCTTGTTATTACCTATTAATATGGAGATGGATGCACTAAGGCCAGCAGAGAGATTCTGGAAATATTTCAATTTTACCCACAAGCAGCCCTTTGAAACACAAACATTTCATCGACTCTGGGAAATGTCTGTGGAAATGACTGGGATGCTGCAGGTCAGATGAGGTCAAGCTGGAGAGATTTTGGGTCTTCCTACATTGTGACCTCACATCGATCTTCCTGAATTAGGTCTGTATGTGAGGGCTTGAGAATTACAGAATTAAATCCCCACAGGGTCGAATACACATGTGCTTTAGTCAGGGTTCTCTAGAAAAACTGGACCTATAGGAGATATCCGTATATGAAGAGATTTATTATAAGGAAGGGGCTTGTACCCTTACGGAGGTTGAGCAGTACCACCATCTGCTGTCTGGAAGCTGGAGACCCAAGGAAGCTGGTGGTGTAATTCATTCCAAGTTCAAAGGTCTGAGAACCAGGAGTGCCGAGGGCAGGGAAAGATCTATCCCAGGGGAAGCGATCAGGCAGGCTGGTGGCAAATCCCTCCTTCCCCCGCTTGTCATTCTAATTTTATTTATGCCCTCAATGGATTTGATGATACCCACCAACATGGAGGAGGGCAACCTGCTTTACTGAGGCCACTGTTGCGAGGCTAACCTCACCCAGAAATACCCTTCCAGACACACCCAGAAATAACATTTAATCTAGGCACCTCGTGAACCAGTCAAGAGGACATAAAATTAACCACCCCAACACATGCTCAAATCTAAGGTAAGTGTGCATTCCTACATTGCTTTCGTTTTTGCACTGTCCACCTGCTGGATCTTCCCACCTCTCAGCACAGCCAGGAGCTGGCAGAAACTGCTTAGTTAGCTCATGGAGTGTTTGCTGAGAAGGAGGATGCCCTGGGGAAGTGAGAGGGGAGGGAGGGAGTGGTGGGCAGAGAAGGCGCAGGAAATGGTGACTCCCTGGTTGAGTTTCTCAATTTGGGTTACCATGGCCACCGGCCTCCTAACACACTCTCTTGTTCTGTTTCCTGTATCTGATGACTGTGCTTCTCTCCCTTCTGCTGGCTCTTGGCTACTC